CAGTTGAGTACACTTCTCTTCCTTACAATACAATTTGATAGTAGATGATTTTGGGAAATGAACAAAGCTCTACCTTGGCTTTCACTAAAAGCATCTCCAGTACTAGTTAGATTATAGTGACAGTGACAGTGACGGGCAAACTTTCTCATGCGGTCTTTTTTGTATCACGGCATTATCATGTACAAATAAACCTTATATGCTTTTCTTTTCGGATATATTCCTTGAGCACATTGAAGCTAATTATAAGGCAAATAAATTGTCAGAAGGGCATAAATTTTTTTTAATTCTGAATGAAAACCTGATCGTAACTGCTCTGCTTCACGATATCGAACAGAGCTCGATGCCCGTTCTTCTTCTCCAAGTCTTTTGATTCTTCCGCACCTTTCAACTGTATGGCTGCCAACTCTTCCAAAATTCTATTTCTTATGGAGGCGCTTGTTACACCGAGTTGTGCTGAGAGAGAGTTTTCGGGTCACTGCTTGTTCTAAGTATCATGTAGACTCACATAAACAATTATGGTCCCATGTAAGTAGATCCGTTCCTCTAAGGTCGTAGCCAATCAGAAGAGAGGCCACATCATCCAAGTTGCACGCTTGTAGCCACAGTAAAATATCGTCTAGCGCCCAATCCTTAAAACAAGTTCTTCAAAACTCGAAAATTTCAAAATCTTGGGACTAATACGAAAGTTTGATGGCAGATTACATGTAAGATGCCTTTTCCTAGCCTGCTGTAGTCTGAGATGTCATGCATTCAAACTCTCCTCATGTCGTGCGTTTTTTTCCAACCGAGGTTAATATTAACGTTCTACAAAAGAAGTTACTTTCGTTACACGACTGTCAAGTGAGTTTGGAACAATTTGACCTATGAAAATATACCTTACAGTGCAGTTGTGGCCAGTATTGGCAACATACTTGAGTTATGAGAATAATATAGAGAAGGGTATTATACAAAACGCACTATATCGTTGTTTGACAGTGTTTTTAATGACTTATTTGTAGTAATTTGTATGTGTATTCATAGCCTCGCCAAATTCTCAGACGTCTTTGAAGGATCGTTGTAAATTATTATCAAATTTCGAACTCGTTTCGAAATTCATACGGTGATTTTGGTTTGTTGTGAGATAGCGGATC